AAAAACAGCAGATTAAATATATCTATTTAGGACTTAATTCATTAGCATTAGTTAAGTTTTTACTTGGCTCATGAACCCTTAGATCTTTTCTTCTTCATTTGCAAACAGAAGTGTTTTTGCCAGGAGGGGGTGCCAAGGACCCACAGTATTAATTATGCAAAAATAAAACTCATGATAAATGTCTCTTTCAAATTTTTATAGTAGTTGTAATTTTAACCTTGATTGAGCAAATATCAAATGAAGTTTTCAGCAACTAATGGATCTTAAAGCATCTGCTGAGCAAGGCACATGTCTAGCACAGTCGCATTAATTTCTCTAATTTACTAAAATTAGTCTTGTGCTTATCTAGGTACACAGCAAATAACATAACTTCAAAGCAATTTTTTTTTTTTTTATGCACTACTATTATCTAAAACAGTATTTAAAAACCACAGACAAAAAAAAATAAATTTTGAAGAGACAGCAACTGTAAGGAAATGTTATGGTAATAGAGACTGTTCAAATTCATCAAATTCTGACAAAGAAAACTATCGTTTCTAAAAAATGATTTTTTTTTTTTAAAGTATTCTAGATAGTTAAAGCATTTTCTTTATTTCTGCTATGTTAAAATATGGGTTTATTTATGCATAAACATTCAAACATAAATCAATTGATCATAATTTATGCCAATCCATGCAAATATATAACTCCAGTTCCCTTTACAAGCCACTTAATATATCACAATAATAAGTTCAATGCAATAAAAACCATGAAAAAGCTATGCAAAACTTTTAAGAAAAAGCTATGTCAAACCTAACAACTTCTAACCACACTTCACTAAGAGATACTTTAATTCAAAAACTATCCATATTGCAAGAAACGTAGTAAAGATACACAACATCTTTCATAGAAAACTCTTCATACAGTGGTGGGCAGTTTTTATATTCAGGCTTCTACTGTGATATGTCTCCATGGATAGATACACACAGGAAAAGCTGCTCCTGCTGTTCAGTGTCTCTGCCACAACGTCAGGTACAAGCCAGGTCCAGCATGGAAACATGAAAACCTTTGCTACAAACTACTGGGGAAGGTAAGACCAAAACGGAGAGAACAATGAATGAGAACTGGGCATTTAGATACCAGAGGTCCTTTAAAACCAACACCACTATTCTTGGTAAGGCCTTCCTACCACGTCTGGGATATCTCTTTCTCAGATACATGCAATGATGTTAAGCAAACAACAGGCAGATAAATGTTGATGAAACCAGTTAAGTATCTATTTATGCTGGTTCATTTTCCCTGGAAATACTTAATATTGAGGTAATGGATTCTGTAAAGGTGACTTTAAAAGGTTATCAACTGATCAACTGATCTCTCAAAATTTTTATCAAACTTCAGACTGAGCAAATATGACAAATGTTTAACAAATACATAAACAGTTCCCTAAGATACCAAGACACACACAAATGGTATTTAAGATCTGGCACAGATCTAACATAGTTAAAAGATTTCATTTTAAAGAGTGTGACCTTGGAAACAGTCTTCAAAAATAACAGCTATGTGACATTAAAATACATTAACTCATTAACTTAAAGTTTGTTCTCCCAAATGGCAAACATTTTCAATTTTACCACCAAAATGTCATGACTCAAACAGCAGATGTTTCTCTGAGCTTTTCTCTTAATCTTTATAGAATCCTCTACTCTAGGTAAATAGCAAGAAACTGAAATAACTCACAGCCACTCTGGTAACTTCAGAACAGTGGTATGACAACCCAGACATCTCATATCTGATACAAACCTAATTGCTGTTCTTCACCAGTCACATGTGGCTTGCAGTCCCATTAGAGAACCCTAGAAATTATTCATATGAGTAGACAACTTAGAGCGCTGTTTGATTTTCACATGGTTGTAATGTATTACTGTATACTTGATGTCACTGCCACCATATTTGTCCTCTGTACAATAAGCACTTCCTGGTTTCATATGAATTTTCCTGCTCAAACACTGCGTATATGATCTATTTGAATCTGTTGCCAATTCCCCCACATTTGAGGAACTCAAATTAGGATTTCTGCACAGGCTATATCGTTACTTAAGTCTGCAGAACTAAAGATTGAAAACAAATTAAACTATAGTCAATTTACTGAAAATGGTTGATCCAAGTCCATGTGTTATCCTACACCATTTAAATTTAATCATAGATCATCCAAGCACTCATAGTGTTGGTCAATGTCTTTGACCCAGTCAGACATACCTGTGCCTTTTGTTTCACATCTCATGTGAGAAGTTTGCTGACCAGTCATGGCTATAGTACTGCTATTGTCTTCTGCACAGCACCTGGAAGGGCAATATTCCTCTTCATTTTTGAGGTCTACCTATACTTAGTGTCTGCAGTGGCCAAAGGGTATGTGTCATAAACCCCTCTGGATGAAATTTTGGTATATATATACACTTTATTTGTTCTCTGTTCTTTAGTTGTAATGAATGGCTCTTGGAGAGTACTCAAGTTAATACACTATTAATTGTTCTGTTTTTTAATTCCACTGCTTATTTTATTTATTATGAATTACTACTATTTCCATCATTAGATGAGAAAGACACATAATTATTGTTTAGAGAGGGGTTTGGTAAACCAATTGTCATATATTGGTGAATACGGATCTGTAAGACTGTGTCTTTCCTTCAACTCAGATACATGCTACTACTGATAGCTGCTGCTGCTGGATTACCAAGCTTTACATCTTTCCCTTTGAAACTTCCTCCTCACCCAGTTTGACTGCCAACTGGTTCCTATACCACCTTTATTAAAAAATCACTGGTAAATTGTTTGTTCCAATAACAAATTTTATAACAGAGAACAAATACGGTGAAGTGACCTCAGTCACACATACTCCTGCCTAATCTTTCCTGATGGAATGATCTCTGCTGTTCTGTTTCTGCTAAAGAGGCAGCTGTTCCTTTGGACAGGAGCAACAACAATTATTCACAACAGTGTTCATTCATCCTCCTTCTATTCTTTTGGCTTCCTGCTGAAGTGGGAGGGTAATTTGGTGATGTATTTCTGCTGCTTTAGAAACTTCCTTTTACAATATAAATAGCTTCAAAATAACATTCTTTTCATGAGCGATTCTTATGAAAGTGACCGTAAGTATGCTGTCATTGCAGGTTTCCATCTCTATGTCGAAACTTGGTATCATTCAGATTGCACAGATTTTGTGTTTTAATCAAAGTTACTATTTCCTAATTCTGCAAACCATATGGCACCATAAAGCCCACAGTGGAGAAGATATTTTTAAAGCATGACATTAACTTTACTAGGGACATTAAAAGTATGAGTAATATTATATTCACTGAAGTATAAATTATACTAACATTTTTAAATTTGAGACTAACTACTTTATTTTTTTTTCCAGGTCTGAGACTTAATAGGATGTAACTTCTGCCTGTATCTGAAATTATTCATACCTATTTCTAGAATGGCAATCTAGGTAAAACTAGATTATTAGATTAAAACTAGGTAATGCTAGATATAGCATTATTCTGGTTTATAATTTTTCTGAAGCTTTTGGTAGTTAAGTCTGTCCCTGACCTTAAAATACATTTCAGGAAAAAAAAAAAAAAATCTTTTCTCAGCTTTTCTCAGTAATCACTGCATATACTTTAGATTAGAGGAACAACATAGGAATAGTTTTATGAACAGCAATTTAATTTAATATATATATTTTTTTAATTCTGGTTTATTTATTTATTTATTTATTAATTTTGCAAATGCATCACCTTTCTGTTACAACCTACACAGGTTGCTGCATTCCATATTACCACCTTATAACTAAGTTGCATATTTGTTCCCATCAGTTCTGTCTCCATGCACTCGTTACTGATAAATTAATGTTGGCAATTATTAAAACATATCAAGCATATTCCAACTACTTCTGCCTTCCTGCCTCCACTTGCTTGATAGAATACTTTCTAACCAGAAGCACTTTTTATGTTCTCACCATCTTGATGAATGATATAGGCAAGGGGATATATTCTCTAGACACTGAACTTACAACCTCTCTGCATAAACAAGTCACACATTCAAAGAGTCTCCAGGATCGTGCCTGTGAGCATTAATGAGCTTATTAGAAAATTGCATCAAGGATATGTGATTCCTATTCAGAGAGCTGGTGCTTTTAAAAGTCTTTCTCTTGCATTCATCTACCAGCACAGGTCAGTTTTAAATCAATGCTGTTCCTAGAACCACTATTTTTTTTTCTTCTCCTATTGAGTTTGGTCATAAAGTGTGATTCATGTTCATAAAACATGGTCAAACTTTTGACAGAAAACAACATATGAAACACAGCATTGTTGGTTTTATTATTATGAATTCAATGCAGCACAAATGACCTTGGCAGTAATTTTCATACTGAAAAGAAAACACTTTTGATTGAATTCATTGCACCCACTTTTGGATGCTAAGCTTCTTGCTATTGTCCACAGTTTTCATTGATCATGCACTTGAAAACCTCTTTGTCTTCAACTTTTCTTCTCTCTTAGGTGAGAGAAGAACATCTTAAAGATGGCTATTCCAAAAATTATTTGAGTCTATATTTGGATGAAGATGTGACTCTTTCAATAAACATACAATTAAAGACTTTGTTTATTAGGGGAAAAACAAGTAAACAAACAAACAACAACAACAAAAACATAAAACAGCAACAACAACAAACAGACAACCATGCTTACGTGACTTTTATAAAAATAGAAACATCCCCTAAAATCTGCAGCAGGACCATACCAGCATCCAGCAGAAATACATAACAAAACTTACCTTTGCAGAATCCTAGAAGAGTTTGGGTTGGAAGAGACCTTAAAGATCACCTAATTCCAACCTCCCTGCAATAGGCAGGGACACCTTCCACTCAACAAGATTGCTTATACTTTAAGGCTTCTAATTTTTATTTTTACTACAGCCTGTCTGGAGCAAATACATTATTGAATTACTTTCACTGTAGCATTTTTTATGACTGTGCTTACCAGTTGCTGTCCTTGGATGCCCCATGCTGCGTACTGTAATACTGAATCCTCTACTTCTGGAGGGTTTAGCTCCAAAACTTCCCTTGAAAAAAAAAATTAAACATTTTTACTTGAATACTCGGGCATCACCTTACTTATAGAACTACTGACAATGACATTATATTGAAAATGCAAAGTGACCTACCTTGTGTGTATGTTGTAAATCACGTATGAAGCTGTAAAAGAATAATGAAAAACCTGTGACAAAAAAAAAAATAAAAAAGAAAGAAAAAGAAAGCATAAGAATAACAAATACAAATACTGGATCGATAGACTATTGTTATGATCCCAGGAAGCCCAGGATTCTCTGGTTGGGAGAGATCTTATGCTGTTGTCTTAATTTGTTATTTTGTTGAAGTCAAGTGACTGTCATTTAAGTGCAAAATATCAGGGCCTGATGTATGCGGAGCCAGAAGATTGATGCTGAGGAACAGAATTGTACAGCTGACAATGTGATAAGCCATTGAGACAAAGGGCCAAAATCTTCTAGATCAAAGTAAATTATTACATGTCTACTCTTCAATCAAACATTACTTTGTTATATATATATCATCAGTAATAGACATTTTGCTGCCTTCTGGATTTGGGTGATCAGTTTTAACCAAGCTCACTTCTTCAACAGTCTCACAGTATGAAAATAGCATAACTCTGTGGTATCAATTACTTAATTATGATTAACTGAAATTACTTCATGTTCAAAAATATAATTGCAATTAGGTATCACTGTACTAAGAGAAATTCTTCCTTTTAATGTAAACTCTTTTCATAAAGAAACAAAGCAACATCTACTAGACTTTCTGTAGCTTCACATCTACAGAGTTACTATATCTCTACTTGGCATATGAATTTTTTTATTATTTTTTTTTCCCTTCTGGACAGTGTCATGCTAATTCCAGTTAGATGAATACAGATACATTAGCCAAGCTGAAACCCTGATATGGAGTATTTGTTGGGAACTCTGTAGTTTATATTATCTGTACGAGGAATCTTTCAGCATCTTCTCCAGAGAGGAGAGACAAAAGAGGATCACACATGAATAGAGTTATTGGAATTTGCAGTTAACACGTGAGGGGTTTCAGAGGTAGTTATTTTGACTGAAAGTTTTTCAGTAACAGAGTCATCTGAAAGATCCCTCCAGCAATTTCATTTCCATTATTAGTTCCCTGTCAACATACAGACAGAATTTTGCTGGCTGATGTTACAAGAAGTCCACAAAGGCCTGTAAGATTTGGAACTGTACTTATTTTGACATATATTTTTTAATTTAGTCTTTCATCAATGTGTAAACTGAATATAGGTTTTAATGTGATCAGTTCAACACTAAAAAAAAAAAAACCTGCAAAAAAAGTATCTTCAAGACAAATTCTTCTAGTCAAAATGTATTGAAATAATAATCTGTTATTCAGCTAACAGTCAACTGTAAAAAACAAACTGTAAAAACAAACCAACCAAACAAGCAAAACCAACAAAAAACATTTATCAATCATAATCTGAACTTTTAGATGACATACTGTTCTGAGTTTTGTGTCCTATATTTTCTACCTTTCAAGGAATGACTCTGTAATTCTAAGGCCGCTAAAAACAAAACATTGTCTTAGAACTTAATGCATAGTCCAGCAAGACGCAGCAAAACAATTTGCAATACACACATAGTCAAGTACACTCCTGTAATATACTCCAGGAAATAATCAATTCATTGTCCTTGGGTAACTTGGAAAATATCCCACATAGAATAGAGTTTGTGACAAAAATCTGAAAGGAAAACCTCACCAGCAGTATTTCCACAGGATGATGAGAGTCCTCAACTCCTGGGAAATGAAGGAGAGCTTATGACATTAGAACTCTGCAGCACTATAATCACAAAATGCCAAACACCTTGATGAATCCTATATCCATTTCCTATATTAGAAATAGCATGTGAAAGCATATAATTGGTTTATTTAGAGCAATAATAATGCCTCCTTGCTCACCTGGCTTTTTGGCAAGGTAGTGAGCAGATTATTCTCTATTTTTGTTTTTACCCACATAGACACCCATACTCTGAACTAGTTTCTGTGTTTCTCATTGCTGCTATACCCTCTTTTTCTCCAAATTCTCCTTTTAGATTCAAATAAGACTTTTCACAGGGCATAATAGCACTCATTCTGAGGAAGAACAATGAAAAAATAACAGTATATGAAATACAAATTTTAGAATCTGCAGTATACTTTCAGTTATCCCAAAGTTTATCAGCCAAATGGGATCTATTTCTCATATGCAACAGTAGATATACATTTATTTGTATTATATGTAGTGAATAGCAAGGAGACTATTTGGAAGTGATATCTTTCCCATTAAAATTTAAAATACATAAATAAATAAGGAGTATCATCAAATAACTAAAAACATAGAATATTCCATTACACCTATCTCTCCTATCTCAAAACACATACATTGACTTGTGAAAAGAAAGGCAGTTTCTCACATAAGGTTTCAAACCATACAGATCTTTATGATTCATCAGTGAGATATCAGATCTTTTATGGGTTCATTTACACTTCCAATCACCTCTAAAAAAAATCTAGTATTTTAAGACATTACTAGCCTGAATGAAAATTGCTTTTATTGTTATTTTAACAATTAAAGAATGAATCAGAATTAGAAAGATCAGTCTTAGCTGCAAATAATTTTAACTGTTCCAAGGTGTGTTCCATGATTCCCAAACAGTATTATTCATTAAAAAAAAAAAAAGAGAAAGAACAAGAAAATGCTTGTATTCCTTCTCTTTCACAGCAGGCAGTTATTAGGCAGTTCAAAGCTAAGAGAATTCAATCTGAAAGAGCTTTGTGTGCCTCAAAGCTTTTCTATTTTTTCCAGTTATATCAGTTGGTCTAATAAAAGATAATACCTCTTCCCACAAATCTTGTCTCACTTACCCATTAAAGCCATTGCATTTATAAAAACAGTGTTACTGAGACACAAAGATTCCTCAACCCAGGAGAAAAAAAATAAACAAATAAATCCTGTAAGTGGTGCTTCTTAATTAATAACCTTTATTATAGTATATAGCATGAAACACCTAAGAACCAAGAAAACATAGATGTAGGAGAGGACACACCGAAACAGTGAAATAAACCAGAATATATCTTGCAAGAATCTTCATTTATTCCTTCATCCATGGCCTTTCTCTGTTTTTAACATTGTAGTTAACACATCAGTGAAACAATTACGCATTGTGTTCAAAATGCCATGGTAGGTGTCAGACGCAGAACTATTGGCTGTTGTACAGCTTGAAGAATACCAACATGAATAGGATTTTGCCTTTATCCTCTTTTCTGCAATTGAATTATGCATTTGAAGAATTACTGAAAAAATCTACTTATGCTCAAAACCAAACCAAAAGGCTTTTCCATGGTAAAACAATTACAAGGCTAAGATAAAAGTTAACCAATCATTCATTCATCGTTCATGCAAGGAAATACTCCCACAAAACTACACATGGAACCTCATTCACTGTTGATTCTGAAAAACCTACTAGAGACCTTCACTAAAGACTCAAAAAATCAATTTTAAAAAACAGATGCAAACATACATTGTGTCTTTTTTTTGCCTTCAGGATGAATGTGTCTTTTTAGAAAAATGGAGCCTGCAGAATATGCAATGAACTACAAATAAGTAAGTATTAGAAGCAAAGTGGAGAGAATATGAGGAGAACACAATGGAATATAGACTCCTCATAGCACGGTTAGAGAACCATTTTGAAGGGATTACTGAAATTAATGCACTATAGCACTATGCTTGTGCAACAGTTGCACCAATAATACCGGCTAACAAAATTTGTAGATTTTCAGGTATGGCAACAATTACAGTGAAACCTCAGACTCTGTATTGATACTAAAGATCTGAAGTTATCGCTTGATAGTTCATCCAGCTAGAAAGTACTGTTATGATCATCATGCCCAATCTCTTTCATCTGAAAAACAGTTTATGAGACTTCAATATTTCAAATACATGTAGTTTGACAAAGAAATAGAGATTCCCAATGGGTTCTTCAATGGGTTTCATAGAAAGCACTGGGAAACAACTAAACAGAGTCTATAATGCCAGGACAAAGTATCTCTGCACATCTTTGAATCCTATTTTTCCTACTCAATTTTGGAAATGAAAAACTAGAAGTAAGTTTTGCCAGTATTGATGTCTAAATCTCTACATATTTTTCGCATAACTTGTTACATTCTTGTTTCTGAAAGCTCTGTATCTAATTGCAAAGTGTTAATCTAAGCTAGCTTGATGCATTTGTAGCACTAGAGTTAAATGACAAGGTTATTACTTTGCAAAGCATCATATTTATTTGTTTCAATCAACATCATTTACTTGTCCTGATTGATAAGAACCATGACATATCATTGGTAATAATTTATGGTTAGCATTAATACTTTTCAGTATGAAATATTACCAGCCATAACAACTATTTGCTGCCAAACTAAAATAAATATAAAAGCAAGACATTTCCAGACATGTAATTTGTCTGTAAGAAAAAAAGGCTGTCAACGAAGCCTAAACAAAAAGGCACCTCTAAAAAATTTGCTAAAGCTTCAACCATTCCACATATAACTTTTCAATAAGATTAATTATCTCAAGAAGAAGACATTCACTGCAGAATGTTAATTAATTCACAATCAATTAAAATCAGATCATCTAACAAACAATAACGTGATACAAAGTGCAGTTGAGAATAACTGCAGAAACTTCTTTTTCTTCTGATACATCAAGGGCTGAGATAGACCACCCTATATTTGGATATGCAACTCAATCATTTTTGAATACATAATAATTTCAGATGAGTGAATTATTCAATAAATTGTTCTGCATTACTACTTCTGAAAGCCTCATATATCACTGCCTTTTGAAATTCCGTTAGTTACACTATCATGTAAAATATGTTTCTTGAGTCTTGTATGAGATGACTTACAACAAAAATTTATATATATATATTTTTTTTCTGGCTTATTTACCTTCAGCATTAAAAAACGTGTAACATCACTGAAATCACAGTTACATGATGGTGAAGCTGGTAAGCCTCAAGCATAAAATGAGCATATTTATATTGATACACAGGTACTCACACGTCATTCTCATGCATGCTCATACTCAAATTCAGTATGACTAAAAATATGACTATACAAATATTTCATTATTTATAGAAACTTGTCTTTTTC